GTACAAATACATTAAATATTTCCTAATGTCTGTTTTCCATATAAACACCTGCTGTTACTGTCATGGAAGGGAGAATGGCAGAAGTTTTTAATGACAGCACTGAGCACTTGTCCCAGCTATTCATATAAAGTGTGCTAATGGCAACTTATGGCTACCTTTAAGTAAACTGAACCTTTTAGTTAATACATTCCATAAATCGGAGATGTGTGCACCACATGTCATCAATTTTAACCAGTGTTGAAAGTGGTTAAGTGACTCAACCAAGCAATGCAAATGTATGTGGCCTCCTTCTAGAATAATTGAAGTTGAAAGCTGTGCCATACTACATTCACTACATTGTTTTCCCTGTGCTTGCAAGAAGCTATTCTGTGATATGAAAGCTGTCAGGCAAAAATGGTATAAGTAACTTCCATGCAGATTAAAGAGTAAGAGAGGCTACAATTAATGGGTGACTAGAGAAGCAAGCGTGAGTTAGTAGACCTGATTTCTTGTGCATTATGACTCTGCATGCTTGTCTCATGAAGTTGTGTCCTCTGTGGCAGAGTTTTTACCGTACTTTAAAAGTGCCTTGAAGATCTTGGGGATAATGAACGCTTTCTGTGTGCAAATGAACTAATTTTATAAGCCAAAAATTCTGCACCACCTCCATCATAGCACAGATGCAGAGTTACAGGCTTTCTAACATATTTTTGATTTTAAAGGATTATTTAGAAAATGCATGTATTTATATTTGGCACTTTTGTCCCTCCACTTATTTATAGATTTTCTTTTTCAACATAACTATTAGAACAGGTACGTTTCTTTGAAAAATATAATGTTTTTGCAAGTAATTATTCTCACTTCATACCCACTCTTGGTTGCCGTGTTATTCTGGATTCTCTAAGATGGAAAACATAATTGCTGTAGAGAGGAGATGAACAGAGTGACCTAATCGTAAATGTCAGCAAAAAAATGAATAAAAAGCAATTAATTCCTTCAAAGGAGCATTTTAGTTTCCAGAGCTGTATCAGGATGACAAGAACAAAATGATTCCATCTGGAAACAAATTCTTTTTCCAAATATATTTAATAAAAAGAAATTGCAGGGCAGTCTGCTGTTAGGCGAAGTTCATTTTGTCCAGACAAAATCCTGCAAAAGTACTTAAGCGGTAATTTTTGAATCTTGGATCCATGCAGAGTGAAGTTCACTTTACTGCTTAGCAGGCTAACGCAACACTAAAGCATCACTTCAGTTTTACAGGCATAATGCAGTACCTCATTTGTCTTTGTGCTTATCTGTTGCAATGACTTTCACACATTTAGTTAATTGAGATACTACTTGGTAAAATATCATGGATTTGGGTTGAACTGAAGAGTATGAAAAGAACAGTTTTACTAGGCAATGAGCTAGACTTACTTGTAAGACTGTTTCTCAGGAGAGGAAGGGCTGATCTTTCATGAGACCCGTTTCCATAGCTGGAAGGAATCAATGAGCCTATAAACTCTCCAACTTGAAGCCCTCGCAGTTTGATCCTACAGGCTTGCACCTTTAATATCCACAGACCATTTACAGCTACAAGAGTACCGCTAATACTCGTTGACACATTCATGGATCTCCTTCCCCCTCACTTCCCAGATCCCTTTCAAGACATTTCTTCATTTGCTTCTGAATTATCTCTACCTGTATTATCTTAAAAGTACAAGATGTAAGGCTGCTTGTGCTTCAGTCATTAGAAAGTTACCCTTTGTCACATGTGAAGTACAACAGCATAATGGAATAGACTTAAGAGGGAAAAGAATGGGGCATTGCCTATGAAGCAGAGTGTATTTTATTCAACTATGGGTGGGGGAACATTCTTTTACAAATAGATCTTACTTCAATGGGATGGAGGGTGTATTTAGTAGTTTAAATTAATGCTGCATAAGAGACAAGTTTCTTTTTTTTCCTCTCTTTTGCAGAACATGATTCAATGTGTACCACTTTAAATTTCTGTTTATTAGGGTTATTAAAGAGACTAATTCTACAGATTAAGACCAGTGCCTCAAGGCATTTTACTAAAAGCCTAGTAAAAACGAGATATCCACTGAACGCATTAGTTGACTAAACAGCTAGAAATCAAATTGTGATAGACTGAAATCCAAAATAAAATATTAATCTGTCTCGGCATCATTAACTTCTAGAATGTCACCAGTACATTCTGTGGACACAGGCACTGTCAGAAACAATTACAGTGTGTTTTGGACCTGCACTGAACTGTTCAGGTGCGGTAATATATAAAGCGATGGAATATGTTGAATGTGATGATGAATATGCTGGAGCCTGGATAGGAAGAACTTTTTTTCCTGTATTTTTTTGTATCTCTGTTTAACCTATTTCAATGCTGCAATCTGTGTCTTTCAGGTCCAACTTTAAGCTTCTGGCTGTAAACGGAAAGCTCTATGCCATCGGTGGTCAATCCCTTTCCAATGTGGAGTGTTATAATCCAGAACACGACTGGTGGAATTTCGTAGCATCCATGCCAAACCCTCTCGCAGAATTCTCAGCTTGTGAGTGCAAGGGCAAGATCTATGTTATCGGAGGATACACGACACGAGGTACAGAGCTTCTCAGTTCTTCTTTTTAACCTGATTGCTTCTAAGGAGCAGATCATGTTCTTTTGTTTTTCAGGAAACCTTTTAAACGGATGTAGGAAGCTGTATAAATACTCATTGCAGTAAGTAGAAATAAATCACTCTTGGAAAGTAGTTGACAAACTACATCAAAAATCTGCTCTGTCATACAGACATCAGATTATTATTTTAAGGATCTATTGCTAGGGTTTCCAGTCATGGCTGACAAATATATGCACTTTGAAACTAAATGTTTGGACTGTTATTTACCATCTATCTGATTAGCCTGTGGATCTGGGGTACTGTTCTTCTGAGGGAAGCCATCCTTCTGGAGTTCTTCGGCATGCAGTTGAGCCTTCCTCTTTTTAAATTTGGGTCATAAAATAGAAATAGAAGTCTCAACAGATGCAATTTTGTTTACCTTTTTAAATACTTGTTTTAGAATGGCAGAAGGAAAGATATTAAGAAAATATCTGCCCACATTACTATTTCTAATATATTAATATATGTCATAGCCTCTTTACTATAGCGTTTCAACGCTTCACAGGCAGACTGGAGCTATAGGTAAGATTTTCAGTATTAAAATAACTTAATGCAATTAAAGCTTAAGCAGGAGCCAACATTTTTAACTTACTACTTTTTTGCACGTTGTTTTCTGAGGGACCGTACAAGTAGGAAGAACTCAAAGTTGCACTTCCTCCTGACACTTTTTCTGTATCCAGTGGAAAAGCAAGCCACTTAAAAAAAGTTCACATTTGTTCATTCCTTAAATACATAGTGCCGTTCTTTGGGTGTAATACAATTTTTTCAGAGGAGTAGAAGTCAATTTTTTTTTTCATGTCAAATGTTTAGTATTTACTAGGTTCTCCTAAATTAAAGTTCCTGTGCCTAAGTCTTTACCCACTTCATTTGACCACAGTCATTTGAAAAATTTGATGTTTTCCAAGTGGAGGGTAAAATGTAGTGTTTTCCAAGTGAGGGAGACCATTCATGATTTAGCTTTTGCAACGGGTATTGCAACCAAAGCTAAACCGACATTAGAGCAAGCTGTCCTTTTCAGTGTCAGAGTTTGTAGAGATGCATTTCAACCCCTTGTGGTTCTTGTAGTAATGATAACCTTCGTCCAGCCTGTTCTGACCCAGACCCTGGTGACCTCCCTGAAGTAAACAAAAGATATCACCAGAGTGCCTGTCTCCACACTGTAGTGTGCTCTGCAGTCCTGTTCCTCTCGTCATCCCCACTAAAGGACCTGTGAGGTGTATCATGCTCCCTGGTGTCCTATATGGTCAGGTGGAATAGGACTGAAGGGTGTCTAGCACAGGACACTTACTGTGAAGTCCAAAGGGAAGCATCCTTTGAGACAGGAGAGGAGACTGAAACACACGGTGATGGGAAGACCCGTTGCTTCTAAAGAGCAAAGTTGTGGGGTTTTTTTGTTTGGTTAGGTTTTTTTGTCATTTTTATCGAGAGAGAGAGAAGAGGTAAGAAGAAAAAACTCTGACTTAGTTAACAGTGCTACAGGATTACAGGAGTGCCAGCTTTTCTTTTCACTTCCCTTCAACTTCGCAACTTGTTTTGCTGATGCTTGTGCTGTTCTTTCTTCAGGTTGCTTCCTCCTGGTGTCGTAGGTAGGAAGATCAGCATGCTAATCCCTTAAAGTTCAGTAACAAAGCATATATTGTCAGGATTGCTGCTGTGTGTCAAGCTCCTTGTCTGGTACTCGCTGCATGTAGTAAGAGAGTCAGTGAGTTATCTTGCCTTTTCCACTTGTTAGGGGATTGCCACTGAAATTCAGGCCACTGTTTCAAGAGGTGCTTTTTAAAAGTCTATGCTTAATGGAAGCAAGGTAGTAAAACAGTATAAAAAAAAAGAGCAGTAGGTGAAAGCTAGCACATTTAAGCTTATGTTTAAGTCCAAGTCCATTCAGGACAACAGTCAGGCCTGTTCCTGTTACAAGTAAAGATCCTTTCCTGAACCAAGGCCTAGAATCCATTTTTCTATGACACCTTGCCTTAGGATAGCTATCAGACTCAGAAACCAGAATTACTGAAATTACATTGGTGATTCAGATTCCAAGTCATGTAGATGTTGGAGCGTCTCACATCTAACTAGCTGAGACACAATGAGGCTCATTTGCTTTTTCACTCTGTTCACCTAATAAAACAAATGCAGCAATCAATATATATTTTTATGTAGCGTTTCTACATATACCTCAGTAAGTGTGTGATTTTTGGTAGGTTTTTCTGAAATTTTTTTAATCTGTGTGCATCTTTCTTCTGAGACTGCACTTTTCAAAAGATGGCAAGATCTGAAATTTCCCATTGTAAATTATAACGACCCTTCTTGAATAAAGACCCTCCTTCTAAATTAGGATTTTAGCTGTGAACCAGCAGCATCTATCCTGAGTAATAAAAGCTCCATGTCAGGAACTAAAATGTGTATGTTTTGTATTAGTTTTTTCTTCTATGAAAATAAGAGACCTAGGCTCTGGATTGAGTAAACTAGGGCCATATCACAATAGGCTTCCATTTCATATGATCCTTCTCAAACCATAGCACCTTTTTCCTTGGGAAGATTATTGCTATGGATAGATGTAGAAACTTAACTGGTGGAAATGTGTCCCCCCCCCCCCCCCCCCATCGGTCAGAGAATGATCCATTTTTTTAAATAAAGAGATCATCCACAAGTAAAGCTTTGGTCAGCAGTTTCATATAGCACTGCTATGACGTTTTTCTCCCCCCCCCCCCATGGGTCAGAGAATGATCCATTTTTTTAAATAAAGAGATCATCCACAAGTAAAGCTTTGGTCAGCAGTTTCATATAGCACTGCTATGACGTTTTTCCTCTTTTTTTATTTATTTAATGGGAGTCACGTGTTCAAGAAGACAACACAAAATAGTGAACAATGACTAATAGTCACCACTGGCTGTGCAAATGCTATAGCAGCATGTTCCTAACCATGCTGCTAATGCACTCCATTTGTGACAAACCTGTTATGTTTATGGCTATTTATGCCTGTGCCCTTACATAACTTTGCCAGTATATCACCATCTGCTGTTCTACTTGTGAGCTCATCTGGAGTCCGTCATATAGACTAAACCTGTAATAAGGACCAGGTTTTATTAAAAGACCAAGCTGGAGTCTGCAAGCGTGTTATCGCGTGTCATTTGAGCTTGGATGTAATCTCTGGTCTCCAGAGGTTGAAACTGAATTTACTAGCTAACTTGGGCCCTGTGCATTCTGTGCTAATTTAACGAAGCCTTGATACAGGACATAGCTAGGGCCTCCTCTGTACCGTATATCAGGGAGGTACTGTAAAAATTTCATAGAACAACAATATTATAAGTGGATGCATCCACTGAGTTGTGACTGAAGTATTGATTAGGCCTCTGCCTTTCTCTATCCTTTTTCTGACGTTGGGGCGTAGAGTTCCTGGTTCTTAAAGGATTTTGACAACATGTGTATTTCTCTCTTTATGAGGTACTGAAAATGTGCCCTTAGGTCATCCACACCACTTGCTGAAATGTAACAAGCTTTATGAATTTTATACATAAAACTTTGATTTGTGGAGTGAAATGCAAAGTATTAAGTTAGAGCTGGAATGATAAATCATCACCTGACAACCCTTAGTGAAACATACTATGTCTGTGATAATTTGATTCATCTGTAATCACTGGTGGAGAGCAGAATATTGCTCCATTTCCTTTTTCATAAGAAATTCTTAAGTATCAGTCAAAGACAAAACTAAAAGAGGAAGTAAACAGGTAGGGATTATTCAGCTGAAATCCCCATTCCCAGACCATTTGCATCATGTAATCGAAGTGCCAGAAGCAGCTTAATGTTTCCCTCTGCAATGGAAAAGAATGTTCAGGTTTTATTGTCAAGGGGAAAGACTTGCAGTTCTCAATAATCAGAATTTCTTCCCTGTTTTGCTACACCATTGTGCTGTGGAGTGACGTGTTGGCAGTCTGTAATATTGGCTCATACGGTATTCAAGGAGGAAGAATCCTCCCCCGTGAATACATTCTAATCCATTTATTTATTTATAAATCTCTCTCCTTTATTTCAGACAGGAATATGAACATTTTGCAGTACTGTCCCACTTCTGATTCCTGGACTAACTTTGAACTGTGTGATGTCCATGTTCGCAAACAACAGATGCTCTCTGTTGAAGAAACTATATACCTGGTAGGAGGTTGTATTCATGAACTTGGACCAAACCAAAAATCCAGCCAAAGTGAGGACGTGTTAACTGTGCAGTCTTACAACATTGCTACCAAAGAATGGCTCTTCCTCAAAGAGAACACATCAAAATCAGGTCTTAACTTGACTTGCACTCTCCACAATGATGGAGTTTATATAATGAGTAGGGATATTACATTATTTACAAGCTTGGAGCACCGGGTTTTTCTTAAGTATAATATATTTACGGACAGTTGGGAGTCACTAAGACGCTTTCCAGCCTTTGGACAAAACATGCTAATCTGTTCTATGTATTTGCCTGATGTGCGAGAAGTGTAACTGCATCAGGTTTTTCTTCTCGGGTCATTAATCATTCTTGTAAGAAATATTGCTCCCTCTAAATAACTCCAGTTTCAGAATGTAATGTGGTTGCATAATGTAGGCATTAAACTATAGATTCTGTTCTTCAAAATATTGCAAAATCAAGTATCAAGAGAAATGCTTCCAGAACCATTTTTAAGGTTACAATCTAAAAATGTTATTGTTTTGGATTTAAAAGTCAGCAAGAATTGTTTGCAATCTAAATATAACGTTATTGTGTTGGTAATTGATCATGGACTTCCAAAAGCAAAACTGATCAGTCTAGTTTTATTCTCCATGTTAATAGACGGTTTAGAAGATAAATAAGGAGTATGCATGGTGAAAGTGAAAATAGTTTAATAGCGTAAATAATGATACATCTAAGAGAAACCACAAAGGGCATGAATTATTCTAAGACACAGTTTTTACTCAAACGGTGTCCTGTTAAATGCACAATATTTAAGATTGTTTATACTCTTATAATATTATATATCTCTTCTACAGGAACAGGTGAGATTTTCAGAGATGTCAGCAATTGGGGTACCACTGAGAAACATGAAATTCTGCTGAATTATTTGTGATGAAATGCTTTGGCAGGGGTTGGGAAGATTTGCCTGGAGGTTGAAGGTTGCTGGTTGGGTATTAGCTGATCCTTTAATGGAAATTGGTAGCATTTATTCCTGCCACTAGCGTAGAACTAAAAAGACTGTAAAATCAGATGGGAAGGTTTGCTGATCTTCAGAAGGGTTTTGTGTTTTAGTTAGTTGTCCTGTTAGAGAAAAAAGGAAGCAGATGTTGGCAACAAGATGTGTGTTAGGAAACTATGTGTGAACCACCACCGCGGCTGCATAGGCAAGCTCTGCACCAAGCACATCCAGCTTGATAATAGTCATCTGGGACAAAACAGAAGACAGGATCACTTAGTGTTTAAGGAACACAGCTGGGATGCTGGTTCTACACCAGCAGTTTCTCCACGTGAGAAAGTAGAGATTTAATTCTCCCTAACAGGCTCTTAATACACATAGATGCCTTTTTTAACCGGGGATTCAGAAATCTGAATGTACATGTTAGTGTTCATTCTTTTGGAAACATAATGCCCTGAGCAGCTGCTGTATTATGACAACAGCATAAGACCAAGCAATGACACTTCTGCCATGAAAAAGCAAGGTTACTTTCATAAGATTCTTAAGTGATGTATTTCTTAAATGTTTAATTTCAGAAGTGTCTTAGAGTAAATGTTAGCAGTGTGCCTCTGTCTGATGATAAATTAATCCCAGTCACATTGTGTTACTTGCTTCCGTTCATTTCTTTTCAGTACCAGATTCAGTACTCTGCAGTCATCCAAAACTCACCTCAGACTGGTATTGGTAGAGAGACTCTCATCTGAGTTGCAGCCTTCCCTTGTGTAGCAAATCAGCTGTGAAGAGCTGTCACTCACAGATTTGCAGACTGATATATCTAACCAATTCCTTTAAACTCAGTAATTTCTTAGTGCAGGTGGAAATGCAAAAACTATGACATGGTGTTTTAGGTATGATCATTCTTTTCACAAGAACCCCTTCCACACTGGGTTTATGTATGTGTTGGTTTCAGCTTCCTGTGATCAAATGACTGATGTGAAAATCTGGAGGATGTGTGCAAATGTAGAAGGGAAAGATAGCTCAGACTGTAAATAACAGGTGTGGTTTTGGGACCCTTACGTCAATCATCGGTACTGACACCTTCTACAATCAGAGATCAAAACAGTTGTTGAATTCAGAGGTAGTACCAGGCTGTAGTAATGCTAAGTTGACTGTATTACAACAAGCTGAAATAAATATTAAATTAAAAAAATACTTATGGAGAAGTGTGCAGTGTGGGTGGTCTTCCACACCTCAGGAAAAAAAAACTTGTAATGACTGTCCCATGCCTTTCTCATTTTCTTACCATTACTGTAATGTTTCATGTAAGGCACTCTTGAGCAGCTTGTGGGCAAGGAAGACTGGTTGAGACTCCCCAGCAGTGAGTATTTTAAAAATTGCTTCTTATCTAATGGAAATTTTTTCGCTGATCCAATGTGCTCTTTTTTCTGCGTTGCTGGAAAAGAACTCCTAACTTAAAGACAAATAAGCTTGCTTTAAATGACGGTAATATAAATCTCAAGTTAGGGGCCTTGTATTTTGATTGACTGGAAATTCTTGAGTGTTAATCCTCGTCCTGCTTTTTACTTACTGTGTGGCCTTGGAGTGCTAACTCAAATTTCTTGCATCTGCATCCCCAAATGTAATATTTAGGTAGGAATATTAATCCTGTGGGGACACAAATTGTTTATCTGGTGTAGTAGGATTTGTAAAGCGTTTTGAACATGAGAAGAAGTATATATATCCTCACTGTTGTAATTCTTTATCTGATTATTAAAACTGCTTCTTGAAAGGTATCAGAATAGAAGGTAGCTAGTAATTGCATTTTGATCTCTGCTAATTGCCTTTACTACTAACTGGTGTCCACTTCCAGTCTGTTTCTCTCATTCCTTTTTTTCTTTTTCTTTTTTTTTTCCCTTTTGGTCACATAGTAGCCTATAGTTTGTCTAAGTTTCTTAGTCTTGGTGTTCTCAAGTCTGTGTCCAAATTCAGAACCTCTGCTTTCCTGCTGCGTCTGGGATATCCAGTGTTTACATATCTCCTTTTCATCTTCTCTGTTTCATGGACTGATTCCACTAGATAATGACTAGTAAAAGCTGAATATGGTAGAAGATGATGTGAAGTTGAAAGCAGAAAGAACAACAGCCTCTGAAGTCTTGGGGGAGGAGTAAATGGAAAGATCTGGGAACTTTAGTTCCTTCCCATAAAATAGAGAAGCTTTTAAAAAGGTTGCTCAGATCAAGGCTAGGAGAGAGCATAATGGTTTCTTCCTTTCTGGGAATGGTTTGTGGTTTTCAATGTGAAATAAGAGTTGTGTGGGGCTTAAGTTTAGTCTCCCCGGCCAGTTTCCATAAGTTTCCCTTTCTGCCCTGTCAGTTGACCTTTCTTGGGCATAATGTCTGTGTTTTCCATTCTTTGAGGTTTTTCTATTGCTGCATCAATATCCAGTTTGTTTTGTCAAAATCTCATGGTACCACTTTGTTGATCTTTTCTATTTGTTAATCTGTTTTTCACAGTGATCTAGCTATCAATCACAGTGATGAAAGAGTGAAGCAATTTGTAAGTCAGGTAGAACCTTTTCATTTATTTAATTCTGGGCTCCTGGAAGAGAAGTCTACAAAGCTACGAATGTTTTTTGTTTCATTTAATCCTCATTTTAGTGCGAAAAAGTGCTACAGGCATTCCGAGTTTGTGGGAATTGATCTGCGTCAGTATGCGAGAGAGAACAGAAGGCACAGAGTGTAATGACAACATTTAGCACATAACATGCTCACAGCCCTTGCACAAACAGAGATTAATCATCCCTATCGTCCCTGTAAGGTAAGATACGCACTGTAAATGGTGCTAAACCAGAGATGATTCTTGCGGTATCTCTCAGTATTGCCACTGAATTTTTAAGCAGTTACTAAGAATCCTCTTCAGAGAGCAGAAACCTGCAGCATCCATCGTAGGTTTTATTGATTTTGCATTTACAGTGATGACCAAAGGGTGGCTCCCCATACCCACAGTAAGTCTTAGAAACCAGAACAAAAGCTGTAAGGTACAGAGAGTTTCAACATTTTTCTTCACTATGTTAACACTGAGTATGTTTTCTATCTAATCAACTTGGAACCTGTTTCAGTATAATTTTTGTCTTTTTTCCTAAAAAGGAGAGGGAAAGGAGTCTGGATTTTGTGAACTTTTAAAATTAGTATGCCAGTTATATATGGTATATGGATTTTTTTTTCTAAGAATATTGACATTGCCAGTAAACAAGTGTTACCTATGTCCTATGAATATCAATATTTTCTAAAGTATGTTTCAGTTTCTTTTTGGCAATTAGAAGCGTGAAGTACATATATTTTCTGAAATACAAACTCTCTGCCTTTTGTAAAAGACAGGAAGTTACTGCAGTTACTGTATTTTTCTAGCAAAAGGCAGAGTATTCACTGTCCAGTTTTAGATTATCCAGTTACACAGCGTGCCTCACATCTTCAGCTCATTGATACTTCATTGTGGAAGGTGTTCAGCACCTGACCTAAACTGCTTCTTGTTTGTTGGCACTACTACAGCTCTTAAAGATGCAGCAGTGAAAGCCAACTCTCTGAATCCTACCTTCTTCACTCCTATTTTTAGTTCTAGCTTATGATTAATTGATTTTTTTTTCCATTGTCTGATATTTTCCAGGTGTTTTTAAGGTTGTGCCTTATGATAAGACACCCCTTATAAATAGTGTTCAGAAGTTAAAATAGTTTTCTCTGCCTCACCAGCTCTCGCCTACAAAGATTTTACCCAGCCATTGTGGGCCCCACAGTTGTATCATCCTTCTGTCAACATGCTTCTCTGATCTCCCTCCACATTCACCCTGCTCACCACCAGACTCTGTTATCTGAGCGCTCAAACTGATAACACTCTTGGATGAGGCTGAACTGATGGCGTAGTAGCTTCTGATGTGTTGCAATTCCTAATTCCTTTTCCCAGGGCAGACCTTAAATGCGCTGCTTCTGTTGTACAGTAATACTCCACTTGAGTTACAAGCTGCTGTCGGTCCACAAAACACTGCTGACATCAGATTTCTGATGTAACTGTCAACCTCCTGTGCACTGGAAGCTGCCTGGCTCTTTGAATATACATATTTCAGATTTAGCAGCACTTCCTGTGAAAGGTGAGCACTGTACTCTGCCCTTCTTATTCAAGATTTCAAGATTTCTGTAAACATGTGCAAGTCGTGATAAAGATGTATAGAGCTCATGGGAATCCTACTCTTTCAAATCAAAGTTAACTTTAACTGCTATGTAGATTTTGATGTTCCCATTTCTCCCCATTGTGATACCAAATCAACTTTCCAAGGAAACACAGGTCTGTCCATGCATTCTGCATGCTTTTTTTCCTCAGATAGCATTGTCAGAGAAAGCGAGGTTTCTTTTTTCTTCTTTTCCCTTCTGTAATTAGAAAAACCTTCTTCCAAGAAGTTTCCTAGGTTTAAATTCTTGTATCTTCAAAATAACTAGGTCTACAAACTTTCTGGTTAGGTTTTATTGGCCATGTTTTGAAAAATGATTCTGTAGAATTTCGAGTACTTTATCATACGTAGTGAGTATTCACAATAAAAGGGATTTACGCAGTGCAAGGGTAGCAGACTCTTGTCTTTAGTTCATTAAGGAGAAGACTTCAGCTATGAAAAATTTGAAATGTAGAAAGTTACTTAGTCTTCTGGGGGGGTTAGACTAATTTCAAGAATTACACTTCTGACTGAGGTTAAGAAACTTGTAACTGAGCAGTGATTTTAGGGGAGATGTTATAGGGAATCTGTTTTCATTTTTGTGTATTTTTATTAAAATCTTCCTTTTCTACTGGGGATATTGCATGTATCTGGTATTACATTTGGTAATTTGTATTACAACTTAGTATTGCATCTGGTTTTGTCTTTCTAGTTGGATGTGAAGGAAATTTTGCCCTTTTACAGGTAGGGCCTTGATTTACTGTGAAGAGCAGAGCTATGTCACCTGAGAACCTGTATTTTGTGGTTGTAAATTATCAATTGATGGTAACTGCTCTGAAGCCCATAAAAACATGGTTTTGGGTGGCGGGAGTGGAGATGAAGTTAGAAAACAGATGCTTAGGAGCAGCCATTCTCTAACCTCCAGGCATAAGCAATTTTCAAATGCAGAAGCAGGCATACAAGTTTTAAATGGTTTTAAAGAAACAACTCCCTTTTCCCTCTTCCCTCTTCCCCTCCCTCCCCTGAAACTCAGGCCCTTTCAACCACAATAATTCATGGCAAGACATCTGTACATTTGGAAGAAAATGTTCGTGGTGAGGTAGGAATGCACTGTTCTTGGGCAGGTGATCCCTTATCAGAGCTGCTACTTGGCAGCCCAAGAAACCTTCCTTCAGCTTTTTGTATGACTCTCTGACTGACATTTATATCTCTTTAATGACATGTTATCTCCTAACGTATGTATAATGATAGGTGAGGCAGGGAAAGGACTCACAGAAGCCCTATTGTATACCTGATAGCAAATGCACAATAGCCTTGTAGAGAGACTTTTTTTAACAGGGCCTGATCCAAAGCCTTTTGATGTTAATAAAAAGAACCAGCTTTGAACGAGGCACATATTTTAGTGAATTAGTTAATTCTCGAAGAATCTGAAGAGGTGTTAACTGTACACTTGACTGATGACAGAAGAGGCATGGATCCTGAAGACTGAAAGAATCTTGCTAGAGTAAGATCTCTGATATGCCCCATCCTTGGGTTTTGTATTGAATTTCAATGCAAAGTTGTCCACCCCTGTTAATACAAGTCCTTCGGACATACTCAAATAGTCGGGAGAATGATGTTTTCCTAAGAATGTCTTGGGAGAAGGTAAACATCTCTGCAGTGATGCTGTTGGAGAGAGACTGAGAAAACACTGCCAATTACTAAGTCACCCAGCCTCTTGACAGCAAAGTGCTGTCATCCATCTTCTTGCACCAGGTGCTCATGAAGAGTATGCGAGTTTCTGGTAAGTGGTACTCAAGTTCAGGCCCTTAAGTATCACTAGGCCAAAGAGCACCCCAGGTGAGGTGGAGCAAGTTACCAGGTTGCAACTGGGTTGAACTGGCATGCAGCAACCTTAATCAATGACTATAGGCAGTTCTGCAGTGTTTGCTTACATCGTATAGGAGACTGCACTATGCTTAGATTTTTTGTGTTTTGGCTCCTGAATCAAAGCATAGGAAATTCAGCATGGGAG